AGCCGGTGAGTTGTTTCGTCCTTTGTCTTGTAGCCGGTGCGTTGTTTCGTCCTGTGTGTTCATTAGCTGGAGAGTTGTTTCATCCTGTATGTTGATTTAGCTGGAGAGTGTTGTTTCATCCTGTGTGGAGATGTACCTGGAGGATGTTGTTCCATCCTGTGGCTCGGCGTAGAAGGAGCGTTGTTTCGTCCTGTGTGTTCTTTTAGCTGGAGTGTTGTTTCATCGTGTGTGTACATTTAGCTGGTGCGTTGTTTCGCCCTGTGTGTTCACTAAGCTGAAGAGTTTCTATCCTGTGTGTTGACGTACCTGGAGAGTGGTGTTTCATCCTGTGGCTTGGCGTAATAGGAGCGTTGTTTCGTCCTGTGTGTTCACTTAGCTGGAGTGTTGTTTCATCCTGTGCGTTCACTGAGCTGGAGTGCTGTTCCGTCCTGTGTGGTGATGTATCTGGAGAGTGTTGTTTCGTCCTGTGTGTTCACTTAGCTGGAGCGTTGTTTCATCCTGTGCGTTCACTTAGCTGGTGTGTTGTTTCATCCTGTATGTTGACTTAGCTGGAGAGTGTTGTTTCATCGTGTGTGTGGTGATGTAGCTGGAGAGTGTTGTTTCATACAGTGTGTTGACTTAGCTGGAGGGAGCTGTTTCGCCATCTATGTTGAAGTAGCTAGAAGGTACTGTTTCATAATGTGTGTTGACGTTACAAGAGGCTGCTGTTTCCCCATATATGTTGACGTAGATGGAGAGAGTTGTTTCATCCTGTGTGTTGACTTAGCGGGAGAGAGTTGTTTCATCCTGTGTGTTGACTTAGCTGGAGAGAGTTGTTTCATCCTGTGTGTTGACGTAGATGGAGAGTGTTGTTTCATCCAGTGTGTTGACTTAGCTGGAGGGTGCTGTTTCGCCATCTATGTTGAAGTAGCTAGAAGGTACTGTTTCATAATGTGTGTTGACGTTACAAGAGGCTGCTGTTTCCTCATGTGTGTTGACGAAGCTAGAGTGTGTTATTTCACCCTGTGTGTTGCCGTAGTGGGTACGTAGATCACAGTACTGGCTGACCATGTCTTCATAGACGGAAGGGATCGTGTAGATGCTGGAGTCATGGTAATCTACAACATAATAAATATGTGACCCGATGTTAACGTGTAGGATATCTGATGACATTCCAACAAAATGAGCATAATGTAAAGTGAAGATATTATATATTATTTTATCATTGTGCTACTCACGCGACGAACACCCAATCGATCAGAGCTTTGTACGTTTCGTACTTGTGGAGACAGATGATGTTTGTTAATGTTGTGATATTGTGTCTGCTGTAGGCTGTTGTAAACCATGCACTTCCAGTAGATAGACATTATTCACTATGAGCTATATGTGCCATTCCTGTTTAGCCTTCGGCGCGAAAGGGTGGTTTGGAGCATGACTATCCATGAATTTCACTAAAATGTCCTGTGCATGACGATACACGTGAGCAGGAGGGAATTCCCTCGATTGTAATATTGAACTTCCCCATTCCGTAGTAAACAAGTTAGTCCGCTTCTGTGGGGGTGACTTATTTTTTTACATTCTTTTGGGAAATAAGTGCAATAACACGTGACCAATTCAGCGAATCAGCATGCAGGAATTACAATGACCACAACGAAAGTTTAATTATTTGATATTATAAAATCACTTTTAACAATATGACCATTTGGTGATGTGTAATCAAAGAAATAGTGATACCTTTTCTTGCTCTATTCCATCTATTTCTCCATATAAACACAACCACGACGACAATGACGATGATGACCACACCAGTTGCAACTGCTGCGACGATCACTAAAAGTAACATATACAGCGTGTTACCCCATTTTCAAAATTGATGCTTGTGGACTTCAGGACAGTTTCTTAAGTTTCTTTTACCATAAAAAAAAAAAAATTGTGTGAAGGTCGAATTTCATTTCATCGAAGTTTTATTACACCCACTCGCAAGTTTAATTCGTAATCGCATTTAACGAGAGCAATTATATAATACGTGGAGGTCAGCTTTATAGCTTCACTGTAACTTATATCTAATAGCTGGTCGTCAGAAAAAGGACACATTTTGGAAAATAATAACTATTTTAGGATGCCAAATGTTTTATTTAAAAAATAAGGATCAGGCTGTATTTCAGCATCGGAAGTGAATGGGAAACAACACATATTGTATGCGGACTAAGGAATGTATGATCTGTGAATCTGAAAAAAAGAATTAACGAGCGATTACCTGATAAGGAAGTGTTATGTTTATGTCGTGAGGAAAAAGTTTAACCAAAATAGGTTGTCCATTCATTTCATATTTAAACAACACTATTTAATTAGTCGGAGTACGACAGACACGGTATGAGAGCTACTGTTGTCCCACTGTTGAGTAGATACCTCTTATTTATACATTTAAAACCTCACCCTGTTAAAACCACAACTCAGTTCCAAATTAAAATAAGATGGATCTACTCTACAGTGGGATCACATCAAGTTTCAAAACACAGTAGGTTTATATCCTTTCTATCCTGACGACAAGAGCGCGTTGACAACCTTGGTCTCATGCAACGCGTAACTACACAGGGTACAAAGTTCCGCTATCTTAGAACATTATGAAAAGGGGCCACAGGTGAATGTATATGTAACAAATATTTCTAAATTATAACATTGAAATATCCATAGTCTTGACTTGTAGTTTTTAAAAAGAAGTTGACAAAAAGCCCTCCAAACCTAGTCCAAAGAAATTTTTTAAATTGCCAACCTGCCTGGTGGTCACTGTTTAGATTCAGAAAGTCATATCTTGGAAATCAGTGGGACAAGTCATTTCTTAGAATTCAAATATGCCATTTCCCATTGAGACAGGTTGTAGAACTAGTTTTTAAATACTGAAGGAATATATTTCTCCAACAAACTTTATGAATTAACATTCTACTATTTATTTAAAATGTGTAAGTATTTTTAATTCGTTAACAAAGCACCCCCAGTAAAGAATACAAATTCAAAATAAATGCCTCTCAACCCAGAACTTGGATGTGGCAGAACTTGACCTACATCACGGTTACTGTCAATGGCTGTCAATAGCTGCCATTCACTTGTAGATTTATTGGCAATGAGCCTGCTGGTACAACGTGATTGGCAATGGAACTGCATAGCGTATGACTGATGAACAGCTTTGTTTAAGGCTGCAGACGAACCGGCATTTTGAAACAAGGGTTTTAAGATCTCACGGTAAGTCGACGTCAGCATGTGAAAGATATGTGTCAGTTGAACCCCTGACATAACGGCTCGTGTATGTTTTGCAAGTTGTGAAATGAATTTCATCAAGTTTGATACGCTGTTGTGATCAAGTGCTTGTGCTGTGACTTCAGTTATATCGGAACCTTTATGAGTGGCCTTTCGAAGGGAGGAGTGTATTCAGATGGACTTTCCCTCCTGCCAAACCCTAACGTCAGTGGTTGACAGTGATGTCAATTTATATCGATCACAAAAATGTTGTCATGAATAAAGTCATTACTTCATGTAGACCCAGCATGTTTTAGAGAGCTGGATTGTTTTAGAGTCCCAGCGTCTAATAAGGGAGTGAGTGAGTATGGTTTTACGTCGCTTTTAGCAATATTCCAGCAATATCACGGCGAGGGACGCAACAAATGGGCTCCACACATTGTACCCATGTCGGGAATCGAACCCGGGTCTTCGGCGTGACGAGCGAACGCTTTAACCACTAGGCTACCCGACCGCCCCATCTAATAAAGGAAATATTGATACGATATAGAGTGAGTGAGTGAGTTAATTATTAACGTCACATCGGCAATATTTCAGCCATATCGTGACGGGATATGATATAGAGTTCTTATCGGTGATTGGTACCCATTTTTATTGGATCGATATGTAGGCTATCAATGTATTCATACACACGGCGTTTTGTTGTGTTTGAAAAGGCTTGATACGTTCAAAAGAGGTTCCTGTTGCAGAAAAGGATGCCTATTTTTAACCAATCAGAATCAAGCATTGTCCAATGTCATGGTAGGATACAGAATGTCGGCTTGATGTTGGAGGAAAATGGAAGTGATACAGGTCTTAAACATATATCACGTTTTTTTTAAATCCATGGGCACAGGTATATTTGTGAAAAACCAATGAGGGCCTTTCCGGGTACACTTAGTTCAGGATTTGGTAATCAGGAAAAATCTGACCGAACTGGACATTGGAGGTTTCAATGCCTGACCTGACTGATTGTGCGTTATCCTAAATTGTCCTTATATAGGTAAAGACATTTATTTATCACCAGTTGTTGGTGGAGAAGGTGATGCTGCTGTTGATGTTTCTTTTTCTGTTCCGAATAAAGGAGTCGTTGTTGTGAAGAGTATAACTGTTGTTGTAGTAGGCGACAGTCGGCTCTTCACCACTGCATCTGGATTAACGTATAAAAAAATATATATTGGCAGAATTTAATTTACAATATCAATGCATGACTTTCATTGAAAATTATTCTGACTAAAGTCTCTAAATGATCAGTTCATGTGTTGGGATTATCTTTCATGTACCAAGACATATTGCATCTGTAAAGCCAGCACATAAGGACACATGGAGATTATATATATACCCAATCACTATGCCCATGATCGTAGGTTTCATTAAAATGTTAAACGTGTAAGAACCGCATCACTTCTGACTTTCCTTTCACATGGTGGTGTTGATGTCTTCAGGATTATTGATATTTTTCTGCATATGTTCACGACGCACGTCAAATGCATTAAGATATTAAAAGTTCACAGATTCTAATCTCACTATCAATTAAATGATATATACTGTTTCTTGGCTTAATAATATATATGTACACGCTCATTTTGTTATCAATAAATCATAGTCACTGAATAGTCGACATGTTACCGATATGGTTCGATTCACTCACAATCTCGATGTTTGCACAGAGATGATCATGGTCAGAAGCATCCGTTACAGGTATCTTCTGTCAGCCAAGACTTTGCACGTTTTGGTGCACATGTTAGAAATAAACCTTTTTTCAACAATACGTGGGTACAAAATTTATATATTGATAAATGATGGGATCTTTATGTCAAGCAATACTTCTGTTAACTGACAAGGCAGTATATTGAAACAGAATGTGTACAATACCGAGTTGTTGCTCCTTACCTGATACAGAAATCCCTGTCGGCGTCGACTGTGTTGATCTCAATGATGTCAGAACCATTGTCGTGGGCGGTGCAACTACAGCCACTGATTTGACAAAAATGTACAATGTGTTAGCCCATATTCTTATCCAAAGAAGTTTTTTTATTTTATATTCAACTCATTCCGGTCACTTCATAGTTCAAATAATTAAAAGGAGTTCATATACTAACCTATTGTTAATGTGTTGCTGGTCTCGCCATGTATTTCATCTCTACACATCCACGCAGTACCGTTGTCGATGCGTGAATTTATCTTGAGGGTGACATTATTTTGTGTTCCATCAGAACTACCAGAGGCTGTGACACGTCCGAGTAAGTCTCTGGTAAGGCGAGGACTAACCAGAATTACTTTTGAGTTTCCTTGCTGTGTATATAAGACAGGATACAGCTTATCCCTTGACCAGGCCCGACCCCCGCTCTGGCTGCTGGTGCACGTCATGGTGAACAGCTCACCATCTGTAGCTGTGTCCGGAGAACTTGTCAGTACTAGAGAGCCTGTGGGATAAAACAAAATATGTTATCTAAGTACAATATCATGATGAGGTTAGTATTCAGTGTGGTGAGGGAATAGTATAGTGGGGTGTGTGTTTGCCATGTATACAGGATGCTCGTGTTTGGTTTCCGAGCGATACTTTTTTATAATTTCATTTTGCATTCCCCCTGCTCTTGCGGTTACGAAACATTGGTACATTTTTCACGAATAGTGAACCATCACACCACTCCAGTACTCTCTATCGGCTTCCTGTGCCCTACAGAATCTCTTTCAAACGGCTTTGGAATACCGAAAAGTGTTTTTAGTTGATGCTCCACTCTATGTAGGTGACCTTCTGTGCATCTACCTCCCTTCATGTACCCTGAGGTCTGAATCTCACCATCTCCTAACTGTACCACCAGTAAAGTTTTTTACAGCTATGACCATCGATCCTGTTTCTTTTCCGCTGCTACTGTGTGGAACAATATCACACTCGAACTTTAAGTTTCCAGGTCTTTAAGCGCCGATTAACGTCTTACCTTTTTCAATCTATCTTACCATCATGTTTATGATTTGAAAACAAACGGATGCGAAGCGTTTGTTTGTGGACACATTGCCAAGTAGGCTTAAGTTTGTATGTTGCCTGTATGCATTTTACATCTGAATTCAATGATAATAAACATTACGTGACGCGGTTTCGCTGTATGGAGTTCGAGGACAACGCGATTTGTGTACGACACTGTAGCATTGTACAAGGACACGTTTCAAACAGCACTGACCATGTCATTATAAGGTTAGATGACAATACACTTCACTCTTTACATTCCTAAACGTCATGGATTTGTTATAGGATTTTGTTATTACAACTATGTTATTATGACATCTGAAACCTTACGATTAAACGATTAGTGATTTCTGTTTGCAGAACGAGAGTATATCCAATAAGACCTATGACTAATAAATGATAGTGACATGACCAAAGTCACACGTCTTGTCAGTACTGCCTGAAAACGTAAAAAACCATGATCAGTTGGATTAACTGATCTGGGAGATATTCTGATCCGTTTTACATTGAAGGAAAGCACATAGTTTTGTGTTGTCGCATTCAGCAAAGGATAATATCTAAAAAAGATTGGTATATGCATTTATCGGCCTTTTTATAGAATATCAAAGTTTGTTTTAAGGCGTCATCTTTTACTTCGATTTTGTACTATTATTCTAAAACTCCAAACGAACTCACCAAACACAACGGAGGACCCTCCTGCCAGGATGGTCAACATTTGCACCAGCAAAATAGAACAACGGTTCATTTTCTCATACAGGAACATGTACAGGTGCTCTCCAATATCACAGAACAAGTGTCATCACGGAAACCAAGCGTATTCCTTCAAAACTGTATCCTTCAATATATACCAAGTGCTGTAATGGCAATGCGTCGGTGAATGGTTTGACATACAACCAACTTTCCGTGTACCAAATGTGCTAATATGTTCACATATTCTATAGTCGAGCTGTTTATATTTGCTTTGAACGTGTTTAGGGATAAAATACTTGCTTGCTTTCGATCACTTTTATGTAACAGTTCGGCCTATTTCCTGCCTGTCGCGTTATTTTAACGAGATTATCTACTTAAATTTACATGAAATATTTCATTAATCTGCGTGAATTGCAATATGTCAATATGTATTATGTTTGGCCCTTATTGGCACAAGAGGCTAATAATGAAGTGCTTTTCCAGCTATTTCACGACTGCGTGTGAAAATGAGTATATCAAAACTAGTCAAAACTGAGACTGAACAGCAATGGGGGATGATCAACAACGTCAGATGGCACACATTCGCCAGGTCATCGAGTCTGCCTCATTGGTCGGCACTTACTCAGTGTAGTTCAAAGTATCATCATTGAGTTGAAGTCAAAGATATAGGTATTGATGATCTGCTACCAACACATGTAGAACAACCTCAAATTTGCACACAGGGGCATCTCAACAATATTCTTTTCAATCAACTAATACCTACACAATAGCCTAATCAGCTAGTAACATCGGTTTATTTTTAAGTACAAATTCAATACAAATGATGTTGGAGGCTTTTACTGAACCTATGATCCTAAATAAGAATAGTGATAACACATGTTTTAAGTTCTGTGAACTGCAGAGGACTTTAAGAGACACTGGTGTTTCAATTTGCAACCAAAAATAACTTTAATTTACTGCTAAGAAGATATCAATTTTGCTAAAGCTCAAGAACAAAGCATTAAAAATAATGTAGTTTTTCACACCGCTACGCTAGTTTATTCAAATCAAATGCGCGTGAAACGGCAAACTTGTTTAACTTACACATATATGTGATGTATCAGGAAAAAAATCGGACGAAAGATGGTTTACATGGCGAAAGCTCCCCTGAAACAATCACGCATAGATTATGTTTCTGATTCCTCATAAACTGCTTTCTTCAATGGTCTTTACAAGTACAGAGCCTAGCTTCCCAAGAATAGAATTACCTTAACATAAATGAAGTTAAAAGGGGCAAGGGTTTATAAAAATTTAAAAAGACGCTACTTTATGACATAGAATATATGCGTTTAGTACCAAATACATTTGATGAAACAATTGATCAATATAGGTCTGCAGTAAACCAAAACCAATACCCTCTGAGACCCTTTTATCAATTAAAAAATGGAAACAATATATCACAAAAAAACATAAAAATAGAAGAAAAAGAGAAAAATAAATGTACTTGCAAGATTATTTCCAGACTTTAAAGACCTAAAAGAAAACAGGATGAAAGTGAAAAATAAACCGAACTTGAAGAATTCGGTGCAGTAAAAGCTAAAGGTAACTTCATACGATATGAGGAAACAACAGGTATGTTTGAATACGAGGTTACATATAATTAAATGCTTTATTGGTGTTAAAACGCATGAAAACGTATAAAAGTCGAAGGTCCGACGGGTTTACTGCAGAAATTTAAAAATAACCCTTCCTTTTGCGTGGTTTTTACTGTGGATGTTTCGTCCTCGCCACATCGCGAGTATTTCTTAACGAAGATAGCTGCATGTGTGCTGATACTTATAATGTGAAAACAAGTCACTGCAAATTGCAAAGTGCGCTTTTTAAGAAGCATTATTATTGTGTTGTGATCACGATGTTATAGTCTGGGCAAGGGTCAGCGAGCGGATATATTTATCAGTCAACACTATTCTTTGGAATACATATGGTTTATATCCTATCCTTCTTTGAGGATTATGCACATATTCGCATTCTGTAATGGTATGCAAAAGGCATGTTCTACTTTTTTATATAATTATCGGAGATGACTTAAAATGATAAGCGCAAGAGAATCAGTGTTTTGATCCAATATGTCAGGGAGCACGCATAATTTCAAAGAACATGTTCATGCATGCAAACTATACCTTAAGTTATACCCTATCAATTACGACAAATGTGATACCAATTGCTCTTTGCCCAATATACATATACTCAACAATAACAGTTTCTGTGACAATAATATTTTAGTGTAATTTTCAAAGAAGTTAAGTTTGATTTTCAATATTGTAGTACATGTATGGAATCAAGTCACAAAAGCGCAACTGCTACAGAAAAGCAAGCATTCCATGCAAAAGTTGACTTTTATGCAAGCCCCATGCATTTCACTACCCAAGAATGGGTAAAAAAAATATGTGCATTGTTTAGCATCGTGCTGACAACAACCACTCAGAAAAAACAACAAAATTACGCAATTATTCAACATTACGAAATGCCACGCCTGTCTGAAAATGAGCGTCTGCGAACCATTGGTATGCTTGAAGCAGGATCGAGTCAACGTAATGTTGCAAGACAATTTAACGTCAACAGAAACACCATTTGGCGTTTATAGCAACGTTGGCGACAGACGAATGCAGTCAGAGACCATCCTCGGAGTGGCAGGCCACGCGTAACCAATAATCGACAAGACAACTGGATTCGAACAACACACCTACGAAATCGATACCAGCCAGCAACAGTGACTGCAAGAAGCATCCCTGGCCTTCGACGGATATCTTCACAAGCCGTACATCGTCGCCTCAGATGTGCAGGGATTGTTGACAGAAGACCCGCCAGACGATTTTGACAGGAAATCACCGTCAAGCACGTCTACAGTGGTGCAGACAGCGTCTACGCTGGACGGATGCAGTGGGGACAAGTTCTATTCCCTGACGAGTCTCGTTTTCACCTCAGCATCAGCGATGGACGGATTCGAGTGTACCGACGTCGAGGTTAACGTTACGTCAATCATTGTGTCATTGAAGAAGATCGGTTCGGGGGCGGCAGCGTTATGGTATGGGGTTTGATTACAGCAAGACAGAGGACCCGTTTGATAGTGGTAGAGGAAAATCTCAATGGACAGCGCTACCGCGACGAGATCATCGGCGCTGTTGTTCTACCGTTTTTGCGTCGTCATTGCCAGGCATTACCTTTCAACATGACAACGCCCGGCCTCATATTGGTCGATTTGTTCAGGAATCTCTCCAACAAAACAACGTGAATGTTATCCCCTGGCCGGCTCGCTCCCCTGATCTCTCACCAATCGAGCATATGTGGGATGAGATGGATCGATGTTATCCACGTGTTCAACAGACACTCCAGTAACTTCAAAACATGCTCCAGCAGATATGGACAGATATCCCAAAGGACTATGTGCGACGCCTGGCCCATTCCATGAGACGAAGATGTGTTGCTTGCATCGGAACCAGAGCTGGACACACATGCTATTGATTTGTAAATTGACATTTTGGCATGTTAATTTTTTTAATGAAATCACGCACTTTCTGAAGTCAGTATGGCAAATTAAACCATTTGAACACTTACAGGAGTCTTATATCTGTTGCAAACCGAAATTGTTTCAGATTTGGTAAAAAACATAACTTTGCATTAAATCTTATTCAATGTCACAGGAACTTTTGTTGTTCAGTATAATATTATGCACGTATATTTATTGAATCTCAATAGAGCAATGTCACAATACGCATTGCCAAACAGTCAATTCAATTTGAAATACGCGATGCTACCAGGTCAATGTACCTGCATGTATTTCCTCTTTGCATTTATATTTCCCTTTTTTATGTCCTTGATGTGTGTCCACTTATGTTTGATTGTTTGTTGTTTAAGGACGTACTCAGCAATACTGACCACCTGACCACCCGACAACCTGATCCCGTTAGTCGCCTCTTACCACAAGCGTAAAACCGAGTAAAACGTGCAATATAATAGAAAATAATGTGCTTATACATTTTTATAAAGCTCTCAAATGAAAGATTGCTAATTCATACATAATGATAGCCAGTGTTGACAAGCCAAAAAGGGCAACATACGTCGCCGCCCTATTGCGCATGTTGTTGCTCGTAACGATGTCAAACTTGCCCCCACCACAACGCCATTTAGAGAAACAAACTGTCCTACTTTCCTGATTATTGATCCTGTGCAATTTTATCCTTGAATGACACTGCAGTGTACATCATACTACACACAACGTCGTGCTGGAGGTGACAAAAGCCCCATATTTGTACAACGTTACATGTTGGTTCAACCAGAGGCTAACCGTACTGCTTTAATGTTAAGTGGAACAGGGAAAATAAAAAAATATCTGTACTATACTGAATGTTTTAGCTTTAAGGTATATGAACATGTAGCTTTGTATGTGTGTGTGTGTGTGTGTGTACATGTATGTACACGTGTGTATCTAGTGTGTGAGACTGTGTGTGAGTGTGTGTATGTATGTGTGTGTACGTGTGTGTACGTGTGTGTGTATGTGTATTTGTATGTGTGTGTGCGTATGTTTGTGTGTGTGTGCGCGCGCTTGGTTTTATGGGAATTTCACTGGCGAGCGGGCGAGTATGGTTTTCCGCCACTTTAATTTCAGCAATATCACGGTTTCTCACATTGTGTTCATAAGCGGAATCGAACCCAGGCGGGAAATTATGAGTGATTGGAAACACCCAGATCACGCACCCCTTCTCTCAGTGATTCATCGATAGTGTTGTGAAACATCCTCAGAGGGACTGCGATGCCAGACCAATCACTCTGTTATCTGGGACCTGGAAGTCTTGTTGTGACACCACCCTTCCTAGATTAGCCGACTTAAAGATGTCATAGAAGTAGAGTCTGAAACAAAGATGGTCTCATAGTCTCTCAGTGTATCTCCTTGTCTCTGTCATTGTCTATCATATTCTCTCATAATCACCCTCACAGTATCTCAGTGTATTTCTGTCTCTCAGTGTCTTTCATCGCCTCCCATAGTCTCTCAGTGTATATCTGTGTCTTTCATTGTCC